TTCATTTTCTTGCTTCCCATGGGTTACATGAATATTTTTCATAACTCTATCCATCCATAGTGTTTTTAGTATAATTTTTTGGTAGCAGTTCCTACAAGTGTTACTTTACATGTACAAAACTTATCATAGCCTATTGGCATTAAAATTTTATCAGCTTTTCAGTGAAGTATAAAAAGTTTTCTACCTTTTATATCCTTTTTTGTCTTCCTTGCTTATAATTCTTAAATAATTCCTTCAGATATATGTAGAGCTATGTGAGGCATAATTATAAGTTTTGCTTTGACACAGAAACACAATTTAGAAAACTCAAAAGAAGATGGAAAATAACTTTATTCACTCAGATTTTTCTCTTCCCCCGTTCCTTCTGCCTTCTTGATGTGTAGGGTTCCTTATCATTTATTTCCTTTCTTTTAAAGAAACTCAGTTTGATCATTGTTTTAGAACAAGTCTCCTAGAGATAATTCTCTTAGGCTTGGGTGAAAGAAACCCAGCACCTGCCAAGGATCACTCCACACACTGACAGAGCTCCTATGAGAGATCGTTATTAAGGAGCCGAGGTGGCATGGTGGCCCACTCTGCGGAAAGAGAACGAGAGAGAGAGAGAGAGAGAGAGAGAGAGAGAGAGAGAGGGAGAGAGAGAGGGAGAGAGGGAAGGGCCTTGGTTATATATCGGGTGACTGGTGTAGGCGGGTGGGGATTACGTCAGCTGCACGGGCAGCCACTCAGGGGCCACTCTTGGACATTTATTTGCTATGCAGAAAAGCCTTGTTCGTGCATGTGCCGGTCTCATGAGCAGTGATGCGTGAGGTAGGAAGTGGAAACTAAGGTGAAGAAGGAAGATATTTATCGGAATGGCGGCAGCCATGCCAAAGCACTTATCTTACATTGTGTGTGTGTGTGTGTGTTGTGGAGCTGGAGATGAAACCTGCTGTGCGAGTGCCCTGCCTGACCAGCACCAGTTCCTTTCCATGTGAGAGGATTCCAGTTTGCACTTCATTTCTGAAGGATCCCGAACTCTGTGTGACAGTCCTTTCCTTCTAGAGCGTGGACAGTTCCATGCCACTTCCTTCTGTCCTCCTCCGCTTCTCACAAAAAGTCTGCTGTTATTCTATTGCTTTTCTCCTATGGGTAACGTGTCATTTCTTTCAAGATTTTACTCTGAACTGGGCATGGTGGCACACACCTGTAATCCCAGCACGTGGGAGGCTAAAGCAGGAGGATCACTTTGAGTTTGAGACCAGCGTGGGCTACATAGTGAGTTCCAGGTCAGACTCAACTACATAGTGAGACCCTGTCTGAAAAAAGAAAACAAAACAAAAAAGATTTTACTTTGTCATTGATTTCCAGAAGTTTGATTGTGGTATGGGGGGGGTGTTTTCTTTTGATTTATCTTGTTTGTGGTTAAGTTCCTTTCTTGAACCTTTTCATTTTTGTCTCTTGCCAAGTCTGTTGAGTTGTTAGACATTGATTCTCTGAGTACTTTACTGTTCTGCTGTCGTCTCCTTTGGGGAATCTGATAATGTGAAAGTTCAGCCTTTCATGTCTGTCCCCATAGACTATTTTAAAAATTTTCCACTCTGTTTTCTTATTGTTGAGATCCACTGGTTCTGTTGTGCTGTCTTTAAGTTCTTCAATTCTCTTCTCTGCCACCTAAGTCCTGCTCTTGAAGCCATCTGCTGAGCTTTTTACTTTTTTCATTTCTAAACTTTCTGTTTGGTTCTTATTTATGTTTTTTTTGTTCTGAGAGTTTTTATTTCTTTGCTGAGATTTCTGGGTGCTTTCATTTGTTTCAAAAGTGCTCAGATTGGGCTGGGGTTTTAGCTCAGTGGTGCTGCCTCCTTCCTTGCAAGTGCAAGGTCCTGAGTTCAGTCCCCAGTACTGCAAAAAAAAAAAAAAAAAAAAAAAAGTGCTCAAATCTTATTGGTGCATTTTCATGATTATTTATTTATTTATTTATTTATTTTTGGTTTTTTGAGACAGGGTCTCACTATGTAGTTGAGACTGACCTGGAACTCACTATGTAGCTCAGGCTTGTCTCGAACTCACAGCGATCCTCCTGCCTCAGCCTCCTGAGTGCTTGGATTACAGGCATGCACCACTATGCTGGGGCATGATTACTCATTTAAAATATTATTCATATAATTTTAGCGTTTCTATCACCTCAATTAACATTGATGGATTCTTTTTTAATGCATGTGGAGATTTTCTAGCTCTTGGTATGATATGTGATTCCCAACTGAACACTGGGTTAGTGTGTTATGAACTGTGACTCACCGGACACTGCTGCCGCAGGCTGGACGGCCACATGTTACAGGTGGGGACTGCCTTCTAACAGCAGGTGAAGGCAGCATCCAGGCTCCACAATTGGGCTGCTGATGATCTGGGCCAGCAATGCCTTGTCACTGTAGGTGGGGTTCACGCTGCCTCCATGGTCTCACTGATGCTGTGCAGTGGAGATTGGGGGAGACTGATAGTCTCCCTGTGGAGGTGACTGTCCAGCTTCCATGTGAAATGCTGCTTGCCCTGGCAGCCCTAGGAGTTGCAATGCCACCCTGCAGACCAGTGATGGAAGAAGTCTCCGCCTCCACTGGGGCTTTGCTGGCAGGAGGTTTGGGGATGAGAAACTCAGTTTTTCCCAGTACTTGGCTGAAGCAGGATGTCTGTTACCTAAGAGCCTTATGTCTTGAGAGACTGTCTTTTTCTGGGTCTTTGGGCAGTGAGTGAGAGGGCTTGTTTTTGAGTTTTCTGTTGTGTTTTAGTGTTGTTTTCAGTACTCATTTGAGATTTCCTGTTGCTGGCTTTTTTCTGCTCCAAGTCTGAGGGTGAAAGATGCTAAGACAGGATCGTAGAGGGTTAGAAGCTCTTCACCCCAGAGAAGAAGCCCAGTGCCTCCGCCTCCCCAGCTGTGAGGCGGCAGGCAGCACAGTGGAAACCTGAGCTACACCCATGTGCCTGGTAGTAATGCAGAGGAGACAGGTGTTGCAGAGAATGATGCATGAGTCTGTGTTCCCATGGAGGTGGGCATGGCAAGGGGTGTGTGTTTGTGAACAGGTGTGCATTTTAGGAGCAGCACCTGAGACCTCTGCAGCCCTGCAAAGGCTGAGGAACAAGATGCACACAGTTATCTTTGCTCACCTGAGTCAATCAGCCTGCCAGTGGCCTGGGGCTCCCAGAGCCTCCATCCTCTGAAATTCCTGCAGGGTGTGGATGTCAGAGCAAGCTCCTCTATTACTCAACTCCCACATCTCATTCCCAAGCCCACTCCCAAGCCAGCTCCTTGAGGAAGATGGATTTGCCACATTAAGCGAGCCCCGATGTGCTCTGGGAGGTTGCTGTGAGACAAATGGCTCCTGCTGTGCACCCACAGCCCACCGCCCCACACCCACTCCACTTGGGCCAGAGTCACATGGATGAGATGGGGTGTAGCTCATTTTCTCCTCACACGATGAACTTGTCAGCATTTGACCGATCAGCACAGACTGCAGGGAGTTCATTTGCAGGGCCACCTGGCTTCCCAGGGCTGCTGTCCTGTCCTTATCCCATTTCTCTCTGGGTAATGAGCCAAGACCTTGTTCCTGTCGGGTGCTACTGAACAACCAGGCCTGTGCAGCCTGCACACCATGGAGAGGCCTGGGCCCTCCTTGGGAGCCTCTCTTGCCTGGATGCTCTGTTCTGCCCAGGCCCCTTTGGTGACTCCCTGCTATTTTCAGGTGAGCTGTACTCTCCAGGACAAGCATTCACAGCTCTGGATGATCTGCTCAACCAGGCACTGGGATCCAACCCAGCTCCCCCTGTTACTAGGTGATCATTCTCAGCCCCATTTATAAGTAAGGCCTTGGAAATGGCCTAAGTCAAGACATTTAGTCTCTGACAATGCTTACTCCATGCCTATCAGTGTGCATACTTAGCCTGGTGCTCACACCAGTAGGTGGTAGGCAGGGTAGTAAAGACCCATGCTGCCCTGTGCCTTCAGACCCCAGGGCATGGCTCAGGCCAAGATGCTGTGTGTGGGGGGGTGGGAGAAGCCAAGACATATGCAGGAGCCAACAGGTCCAAAGGGGTGTGGGAGTCTCCAAAACTCACCCAGACAGGAAGGGGATGGATGAATGGATGTCCCAAGGGTGTGCTGGCTCCTCAGTGTGGAAGGCCTGGGTGCGATACATCTCCTTCCCCAAGGATCTGCCAAAAATATAAGGCAAGGGTAGGGACATTTGTGGACACCTGTCACAAACCTGGAGAAATCACCTGAGCAGAGCAGGGACTGGCCAGGTGGCCATGTGCCTGGCATGGACTGAGGAAGTTGGCAGGAAGGTTTAGAGACTAAGCAGCCACACCAGAAGAGAGAGCTTTCCTCATGCCTGGGGAAAGCAAAATGGATACCAGAGTTCCTGCCATCAAACCTGCCTTCCAGGTGGCAGAATGGAGGATGGTGGGGAGGACAAAGGATAGATACTGGTTCTTTAAGGAGGCTTTCTGGAAGCTGTCTTAGAGTGTCTGTAGATTTTGTTGGCAGAATTTGACAGCTAGCTGCTCCTGGCTATAAAGAGAGAGGCAGAGGATGTAGCTTTCAGTGGTAGCCCATGTGCCAAGCTAAAGGCCAGGGCTGCTGTGAGTGAGGACCTCAGGGTCGAGCAGTCAATGTCACTGCCATAGAGTGTGCCGTGGCTCCATTTGTACCCCCACCCCGCAAACCAACCTCTGGGGCAAGGGTGGCAGTGTGTACCCTTCCTTCTAGTGCTCATGGGAAACCCTAATTATATTTCGGCCCCAAATCAGATCTTTGGAAATCGCAGCTCAGGATATATGTGTGCCATGCACATGTGGGGCTGGGGCCCCCTTCATGCTGGGACTGGACTGGACCGGCAGGGACCCTGGGCCAGGTTAGAGGTCAGGATGGTTCCCTGACCTCACTGCCCCAGGATAGCCACTTGGCTACAGCATGGGCTCAGGGAGGGCACGCAGGTGCCAAGGCCGCCATGCTTGCCTGTCCTGGCCTGCAGACTCCACCAATCGTGACTCGCTGGACATGATCGAGCGCTGCATCTGCCTGGTGTGCCTGGACGCGCCCAGTGGGGGGGACCTCAGCGACACCCACAGAGCGCTCCAGCTTCTCCACGGAGGGGGCTACAGCCAGAATGGGGCCAACCGCTGGTACGACAAGTCCCTGCAGGTAAGTGTGCTCCCTATGCCCTGCACAGGTCCTCTATGGTCCTGGGGCCTGGGGCTGGTGGCCAGAAGAGCAGAAGGGCCAGAGGCAGGCTGCTGGTCACCTCTGATGGCCAGAGCTCTTCTATGTGGGTAGCTGGGCCAACTGAAACTCCTTCTTCATCATCCTGCGGCCTGTGAGGGAAGCCCTGGTCACACCTGGGGCTCGAGCTGACTGGAGTCACATCTGGGCACCCAGGGCAGAGCGTGCCATGGTCCCAGCATGAGACTACTGAGCACCTTCAGCAAGAACTGTGTCTGATCCCTGGGACACCAGCACTGCCGAATGTCTGCGAGCTGGGCTGTTCCAACACGCTTTTTCTTCATCCCTGAGCAGCAGGGCACCTGGCATCTCTACAGAAAAGTCCTAAAATGAAATTAAGTAAAATATTTCATGTTTTTCCTTCTCATGACATCACCTACCCATGCAGACAGGGATGAGTTGAGTCAGACTGTCCTTCCATTTCCCCATCCTCTACCCTAACAGGCCAACCCCAAATATGACCTTGCTATTTTTAAAGCCACCGCACTCACACAAGGGCTGTGCATCCTTCTAGATTGATGTTGCTCCCTGCAGTGTGCATTTCTCTGCACCTCCTTGTCTCTTTCCCTCTTACTCTTATCCTTTTGGCTGGTTGGTGCATTGATTCCCCCACCCCCACCCCCGCCACCTAGGGGAGTCTGTGCTGCCTCCAGGCCTCTTGGGTGGGCAGGACAGAGGACCAGGGGAGTCAGGAGGTTTGCTGGGCTGGATTCTGGAGGTGAGGAGGGATGCTGCATTGAGGGACGGCTGCTTGATAGCTACACTGTGGAGTGACAGTAAAGGTTGCAGCCTCTGGTCCATGATGGGGATTGGGAGTGTCACGGAGAGAGGCTGCTCAAGTGTGGGTGGGTGTTGTGGTCCTGGGAAGGGGTCCCTGTGGCTTATGGATGCGGGATGCGTGCCCCTGGGTGTGAAGAGTGGCAAGGTGGCCCTGTTCTGTCTGGCCTTTGTACTCAGTGGCAAGTGTTGTCCTGTCACTTCTTTCCCCTAGGACCCCTATGCACTGTGCCATGCTGGTCAGATGCCCATCACTGTGGAAACACACCTGGAATAACTGACTTATGGAGACACAGTTCCAGAGGGTTCAGCCCATGGCCACTTAGTGCTATTGCTTTGGGCCTGTGACAACACGGGATGTCATGGCTGAGATGTCTGGTCACCTCATAGTGGCCAGGAGGCAGAGAGACAGGAAAGCATCCAGTCCCAAAGTCCCCTTCAAGGTCACAGCCCAGTGACCTGACTTCCTCCCAGTAGGCCCCACTGTCAACAGGGTCCACACCCTGTAGTACCGTGGACTAGGGCCCAAGTCAAGGGACTTCTCTGGACATTTCAGATCCAAACTATAATAGCTCCTTTTCCAAGTCAGCTAAATAAAGCCTTTGTGAAGTTGAACAAAGTGAAATCCTAAGAATCCTGTCTAGTGTCTCAGTATTCCATATGCACATTCTCCCTAGTCTCCATCTCCAGCCGGCAAACTGGACCTCACTTGGCCAGACTTAAATGAGAGCCTCTTGAAGCCCATGGAGCCAGAGGGGCTGGACAAAGCTCCCGCAGCTGCCGGGTCAGTAGGAGTAGGATCTGGGGTTCTGATGGCAGCTAACAGAACATCCTCTGTCCACAACCTTCCCTGCACAGGACATCCTCCATCTACTTCTTGTCCTTGGGAATCTGCTCGACTACCAAATCCAATTGCCACATTTTATCATCTTGTAGTGCAGGACCAAGCAGCTGCTGTGGGGTGGGCAGAGGTACCTTTCTGGGAATAAAATCAATGGTGGCCAAACACACAGACAGAGAGGCCGCCATGGGGTGAGGCCTGTGCTGTGTGCGGGGAGGGGACAGGCCAGGTCAGCACACAGGGCCTCTGTGGGGAGGCTGCCCACCCAGCCCAGTGCTATCTAGAGACTCCCACTGCTGTCACTGTAGTGCTCCCTTTGGGAAGTGCTGTCCCTGGTGTCCATGAAGGAGCGGTGCCCCCAGCTGGGTGCAAGAGCTGACCTGGCAACTGCCCCCTCTGCCGCAGTTCGTGGTGGGCCGAGATGGCACGTGTGGCGTGGTGTGCGAACACTCCCCATTCGACGGCATCGTCCTGGTGCAGTGCACGGAGCACCTGCTCAAGCACATGTGAGTCTGGGGATGAGTGGAGGGGATCAGGAAAAACCAGGAACCCCAGGGGACTGTGTCAGGCTGGAAAGTGGTTTAGCAAGGGCTGCATTTGGAGAGCAGCATGAACATGGTATCATGAGACTTACAGGCCCAGGTTGAAAATGTGCAGGTCCCAGGAGACATTGAGGGCTGTTGGGGAGAGGGTGGGATGAGGCCTCAGGGTGTCTGCTGTGGTCCTGGGAAGCCCCATCACTTCCTGCTACCTGTCCAGAGCCAGTGCTGCACCTATGTGACTGGTGCAAAGAGGTCCCTAATCCTGGGCTGCTCTGTCCCCACTCACAGGTTTGTTCTCTCTCTTCAGCATCTGTTCCTGGCTTCTAGTTCTCAGTTTCTTCCATAAACCCCTTGGGGTCACTGGAAACTAAACCACCCTCACACACAGAACAACACAGCTAGCTGCTATGTTTCTCTCCAAGCCTTATATGAGCATCACTGCTGTAACTGGTCTAATAGGAGCCCAAGGAGAAGAGATACTGTGGAGGCAGGAGGATCACAAGTTGGTGTTCAGTCTGGGCAGTTTAGCCACTTGATAAAATGCTGTCTAAAATGGTTTTAAAATTTTTTTAAATGGCTGGGGATGTAGCTGAGTGTAAAGGCGTTGGGTTCAACCCTCAGGTAAAAAAAAAAAAAAAAGAAAAAGAAAAGAACGAAAGGGGACCAGGAATTTAGCTCAGTGGCACCTTGCCTGCCTTGCAAGCTCAAGGTCCTGAGTTCGATCCCTAGTACCCAAAGAGAGAGAGGGGGGGGGAGGAATGAAGGAAAGTAAGGAAGACAGGAAGAAAGAAAGAAGGAAAGAAAAGAAGGAAGGAAAGAAGAAAAGAGGAGAGCACGCTCTTTGGAGTTGGGCAGGCTGAATAGAATCCCAGCTGTGACACTCGGTGATTTTGGTGGCTTCTCTGACTTTCTGTTTATTCACCTGCACAGTGGTTTGGGGTGCAGCTCAGCCCCCTGAAACTCCAAGGCTGTACACACCAACAGCTAGGATGTATGTAGAGTTAGAAAAAACAATCCCCCTCCAGGTGTATGGCCTCAGTCTCCCCTCTGTGCTGTAGGATGAAGAGCAGCAAGAAGCTGGTCCGCTCAGACTCTGTCAGTGAGCTGCCTGCACCCAGGAGGCTGAGGTGGAAATGCTCCCCAGAAATCCAGGGCCACCTGGCCTCCTCAGCAGAAAACCTCCAACGGTAAGGAGGTGCCCCAAGTGTGCCCAGTGAACAGTCGTCTGGGACAACCCAAGGACCTGCAGTTCTACCTCCCCAGGCTGCACCCCACCTGCACCCATGGAAGAGATGTAGTCAGACTAAAGGGAGCCGGAACTCTGGGAAGGCGACCTTGCTGAGGTGTCTGTCGTTTCCATAAATGCAAATGTGCAGCCACTTCCCCCACAGGCTTTGCTTCACTGAGCAACTCTGAGACAGGATCCTCCCTGCTTCATAAACATCTGGTTTGAATAGGTCGTTTGAATGCTTCAGTGTGTGAAGTTCACAGAGTGCTTAGCAAGGGGCCTGTGTCCCTGAAAGATGGGTTAGGCCCTAACCTAATGGACCAGGCTGGGGGAGCTCCAGAGTATGTGGGACCTGGGAAAAGAGACATAAATGTGCACAGGGTCTGTCCTCAGCCCCCAGACCTACGATGTGTGAGGCCGGAAGTGCCAAAGCAGAGGCAGGTGGACAGACCTGAGCCCATAGAGAAATGGAGGTGAACTCTGCTGGACAGTGGCCAGGGTCTTGCAGAGGCAGGTTGGCCCTGTGGGGGAGTGGAGAACCCTGATGTTATGGATCTTGCAGAGCCCCGGGGCAAGGACAGAAAGTTGGTTGCTGTCGAGAACCCAGATGGCCCCTGCTTCTGAGAATGAGAGCCTGGGGGGAAGCAGGAGCAGCTCTGGGAATGGGGTGTGATAGGGTAGGGTTCTCCTACTCAGCTTTGACGGTGGTGGCAGTCTGTCCAGGAGTTTGTACGCAGGCAAGTCTTCAGGGCAAGCTACTAAGGGATGCCCCATCTGGTGTGGCCTCAGAGTCCCTAGTGAGAGGAAACTTGCAGGAGGGCAGGTGGTACAGGCCTGGCTGGACCTTGCCCTGGGTATCAGAGGATCCCAGACTCCCCACAAAAGAGAAGAGGAGACAGTGAGGATGGTGGGGCTTGTCTCCATACAGAGGTGGGGACTTGTCCTGTCATTCTAATGGTGACAAAGGCCCAGGCATATCATGGGAGGCTGTGCACTTTCTGGATAACACGGGTTTGGGTCACTGGTGAAGTCCTGGTGGGTATTCTGAGTCTTGGGGAGCAGGCATCCCTTCCCCAGAGTCTACTGAGCTACAGGACACACATACCATCTCCTTGGTCACATGAATGGTGGGGCCTCTTCCAGGCTTACCCGTGGCAGGGAGTATATTTGTGGGCAGCTTGGCCCTGCCCATTCAAATGTACTCACCCAGCTTTGCCCACTGCCTGCTCCCTGCAGGACACCTCTCCTCCTCAAGGCACTGCCACTTCTGCCGAGCTGGGCGCTTTCTGCTCAGGGAAGCCTGGCCTCATGTGCTCCTGCCACATGCATTGTCAGCATGTCTGTGACTGCCCAGGTGTTCTTGGGGACAGGAACTGTGCCCTCGTCCTGCAGAGTGGCAGGCCAGGCTGGAACCACGCAGTGGGTTTGGGGCACTTGTGACTCAAGTGCCTTTCTCTGCCCTCCAGAATAGTGAAGAACCTGGACTTCACCGTGTATAGGTTTGCTGGCTATGGGAAGACGTTCATCAAGAAGCAGAAGTGCAGCCCCGATGCCTTCATCCAGGTGGCCCTGCAGCTGGCCTTCTACCGGTAAGACCTATGACAGTGACTCCAGAGTCTGGCGCAACCTGGGCCAGAGAGTGACAAAGCTAGCCTCAGGAAGGAGTGAAGTACACACATGCAGGGACAGCCAAAGTGACCAAGACCTGGCCCCCCAATTCTGCCATCACACAGCTTTGAGATGGGCCAATCAGGCTGCATTGCTCACCACCCTGAACCTCGGGTGCTTATTCGCCCGGCCCTCCCACCCTCCACCTCCACTTCCTTCCTGAAGAGCCGCCTGGGGCTCCATTCCACCCAGTTCTCCATTCTACCTCAGTGTCTGCCAGCAGTCCATGCAAGAGGCAGGGCCAGGACTTGCTGTGTGCCTCTCGGCTGCCCCTGCCTCTGTCTGAGCTCTGTTCCTTTTTCTTTCCCATCCCCGACACCAAGGACTGGGTTGACTGCTGGGAAGGGCATGTGAAAGCTAGGCATGCAGGCCTAGGGGTGCTCTCTCACTTCTTAGGCATTAGGAAAGAGGTATTCTCTGACTGGTGGCACCATCTCCACAGTTGGATGGCCAGGAGGCCAGAATCATCCATAGGGAGATAGGACACACATTGTACCCAGCTCCAAGGACTGCCTTATTTCAGCCTCCTTGGAGAAGAAGAGGTGCAGCCTCAGTGCCCATGGACCTGGCTGACCCTGAATGCATGACCTGGCCACAGTGCCACCTAGACTACCCCCTCCTCATGCCTGCCTGGGTCTGGAGGTCACAGCTGAATTACTTTAAATAAAACCAAACTCCCTCCAGGGTGTGAATGATTAATTGCACAATTACTCCATTCTACACTGTTCATCAAACTCTCAGTGAATCTCAGAAAATTCCAGCTTTCCCAGGGGATTGGGGATGTCGTAGAAAGCACCCAGGCACCTCCTTATTTCCCATCAGTGCAGCAACCCTACCTTCTACACGTGTGTGTGACTCTTGCTATTAAAGGCTCCTGGCATTCATCTCGGGGATTCTCTCAATCCTATCAACATTAAAATGAAATACACAGCCAAGCTGAGTCAGGACTATAATAATGAAGCCTGCCAAGGCTATTTTTCTTTCTGTGTTTATGATTCCCTGAGAAGAAATTACCGCTTGCCATTCATCTTTATCTTCTGCAGGCGCCACCAGAGACTGGTTCCCACCTATGAGAGCGCATCCATTCGGCGGTTCCGGGAGGGGCGTGTGGACAACATCCGATCAGCCACTCCGGAGGCACTGGCCTTTGTGAGAGCCATGACTGACCATGAGGCTGCCATGCCTGTAAGTCCCGTGCCAACCTGGGAGCCACCTGTAGGCCAGCAACACCTGTGTCTCTGGCTCTGTTGGCCATGGAGGTGAGATCTGAAGCCCTGGGCATTGTCTCTCTTCTCTGTCATAGGCTTCTGAGAAGGGACAGCTCCTGAGGGATGCCATCCGGGCTCAGACTGAGTACACAGTCATGGTGAGTGACATCACGTGCCTGGTGACTACAGCAGCCGTGCGTGCAAAAGCCTGTGAGGAGCTGGGGCCTGCTTGAGGCCCTGTGTCACAGCTCAGCCACCGACGTCCTGGTGACATGGCAGGCCACCCCCTCTCACAGCCTCCTCTCTCTTGCTTTTACAATGTAGGTAACACACCATTCCTTCTTGTACACCAGATCTTACAAGAGCAGAATGAGTGGTGTTTGAAATCCTTTGGAATAATAGCACACGAAATGTACAGCACTTTACAGTTTATACAAGAGAAGCTAACTATGAGGGTGCAGGGCTCCAGCCCGGTAAATGAGGGCAGCCTGTACCCTGGCACAATCACAGTAAATGAGGTGACATTTGTTCTACCTCAGACTGATTTTGCCTCTTGTTTCCTTGTTCCTGTTTATGCTACCTATGAATAGAAAGTCTTTGCTGAAAATTAATACTGACATCAAAATTGGAAGGGGAATGTCTCCCTATTTAGGAAAATAATTTCTTTTCTTGTACTACAAAGAGGATCTTCTCCATACAGAAAATAGAGAACAAGTATCTACTGGGCTGGTGATCTATGCATTAATTGCAAATCACTCTAATGTAGTCTGAAAAGGGTCAGATAACCTATAGAAAAGATTGGCCAGATTCCACTCTCTGCACTTGAAAGCAAGTACAGTGTACTTCTGGATTTTGAACCAGTGTAGATTTTCCTCTAACTCAGTCGCTAGCTCTGTAATTTATCTCAGTAGTTTCATGTTTGTTCTCTTTGGGGAAAACTAAGCGTAGCTTTCCATTACTGTAACATGTTACCTAAGATAGAGACAGATAGAAGATTTATTCTGGCTTACATTTCAGTCATGGTCAGTTGGCCACATTGCTTTTGAGCTGTGGTGAAACAGCACATCATGTCAGGTGCCCATGGTGGTGCAAAACCTTCAACTTATGGTGGGGAAGAAACAGGGAGAGGAAGAGTTGGACTGAGGTCCTACTGCCCCTTTTAGGGGACATCCCCAATGACCAGGAGATTATCCACTAGCACTTTGCCAATTGGCACGAAGCTGGGGGCTAAGACTTCATTTAATACACCAACCTCCAAGAGACATTTCAGACTCGAGCTATAGCAAGTACCCAGCCCTGAAATCCATGGATATGTTGCTGTTGCTGTTATTGTTTTCCTACTTTGTGCCATGTGAGGTACCAGGTGCTAGAAAACAAACCCTGGAACTCACAAACCCTATCCTCAGGGAATCTGGCTTGTGATTGGAGAAGTCCTTCATAGTTAAGTTCAAATCCCTGTGGAAAGAGTACTCAGGAAATAACAGTGAATATGGAGAAGCAAACTTTTCCCTCTGCTTTTGAAAGCAAGGAAGACTTTGTAGAGGAAGTGGTGCTGCAACTCAATCTTGAATGACCAAGAGAAAGAATTGGGCCCAGGAAGAACAGCAGGTGCACAGGCAAAGTCTTGAAAGCACAAAACATATTGAGGAGAAGCAAGCAGATCAGTGTGAGCAGCTTGCTGAGGTCAGAGTGCAGGAGGGCTAGACTTCCTTACCAACCTTGCTCCAGTGTGGGGCAGAAGGGCTGGTTGGATGGGAGCAGTTTGCCATGAAGCAGAGATGCCAGTTAGGAAGCCAGGCAGTATTGAAGGGCAGAGCGTGGAGAGTAAGACTCAGATGTGGTAGGGTGATTGAAGGGCTCACTGTCACTCTGAAACTTTCCAAAGCAACAGTCAAGGAATTTTTAATACTATGAATTCATGAGAATAAAAAGAATGGAAGGAAGGTGGCAGCAATTGTTTGAGCTGGAAAACAGAATAAATGACAACAGAATCAGTCAACAGTAAGAGAGGCTGGTGAACCCTGGAAATGCACAGACACTGGGGACACTCTCCAAAAATGGGGGTGCATGGGGATGGAAAGAAAGGGAGTTGCTCGATCTCTCATCTGTTTGGGCTGCTGTAATAGAATACTTAAGACTGGGTAATATATAACAGGCTTATTTCTCACAGTTCTGGAGACAGACACATAGAAAGCTAAATGAGGGGGAAAACACAATTTAATGATTTAAAGAGTGTCAGTTCTAGGGAAAACAAAGAATGCAATAAGAAAGGAAATCTAGCCATAGTGTACTACATAATACAGCTGTGAATACTCACATAATAATATCATGCACACCTCATATATACAGTGCCCAAACATTGAGAAGGATGTATATGCTTTTCTGTCTCAAGAAGATTGAACATAAAACAGGGAAATGCAGTCCTGGCATTCTTTGGGTCTGGAACAATGGAAGTGAAAATTGAAAGCAATAGCTAGAGGGTGGCAAGGAGTTGCCTCTGTAGATGGGTATCAGTGCCAACAAGGCGCCATGAGTCTTTGGCATACTTGGATTTTTAAATTACCTAACTAATTTAAATGTATGAAATTTTAAAGAAAACTATCTTCCATGGCCTTGCCATCCAGTTCTGCTGAGTGATCTGTTCTAACTTGACAAGAATAACAGACCAAAAAGATAAGGGTGGGGAAGGGAGAGGTAAAGATGGTCGATAGGTGAATCTGGTGCCCGGTGGCCTGGGAGGTAAGAGAAAGAGGAAAGAATTGGAAAAGCCACCTGATAGCTGGTGAGTGCACTTGACGGTCAAAATGAGTGATGGAATTCCCCACGATGGGCAAGGTGGTCCAGGTCACCTCTCACAAACTCTGTCCATTGTATGTGCCTGCAGCCCAGCCCTTATCCTGGTGCATGACTGCATGTTATTTGCTAGTGACATGGCTAGTGACTGCCCCCATGTGACCATAGGCTTAGTCTCTGGCTGCTCTCTCCATTGCTGCTGCAGTACTGGCAACTTTGGGCATGCAGGAGGCACTCAAAGGTCCCTGCATGAGTTACTGTCCTCACCACTCATGGCTGTACTCCAAACTACCTGTGAGCTGGTTGAGTCAGGGTAGGTGATTGTGTCTGTGGACCCACAAAACTCAGAGATTGAGTACAAGTGTCCAGGGAAATGACAAGAGCGGTCCGTCCACCCTGAGAGGGATCACAGCCCTTCCTCTCTGTCCTAGCCAGGCACATCTGAAGTGAGTTGTGGGACTAGGGTGGAAATCTGAGATGAGCGCCGGCCTAGCATGCACGAGGCCCCAGATTCCACCCTAGCACTGCCAAATAAATAAATAAGTAAGAAGAAGAAAGTGAGCCGTGGCTGTGCACCTTGTCTTTCAGACTATAATTAGGTGCCTTCCGAGAGATGGGCTTCAGCTTCATCCTTATGCATCATTCTCAGATGCACAGAACAGCTGTCAGATCCAAAAACGTGCCGTGTAAAACCAAGCAAAGTTCAGGGTGGGGCCTCAGCAGCTGCCTGGCAGCCATCTCAATAACTGGAACCCTAAGAATTCCAATTATCCTGATGCTAACCCAAAGTTTATTGCTATAGGCTAGGGATACGGATGCTCCCCAAATCTGCATCAGACCCCAAAACTGCCCCCATATAATCATGGAATCAAAAGACAACAGCAAGAACACAGTCATGGGAGAGATGGAGAACAAAGGCCTGGCCCCTTCCAGCTCACCATCACCCATAGTCCCTCCAGCCCTGTCATGTGGGGGCTCCCACTGTTCAGCCTGCATTTGATAGGAGCTTAGCTATCTTTGCAATTAAAACAAACAAACAAACAAACAAACAAAACTCTTATCTTTCAACAAGCTCTTTCCCCTTGAAGGTCAGTGGAGCCTCTTCGAGGATGCCTGCTTCCTGGGTGAAGATGGCTTCTTAGATTGTGGATCTAGTCTAAGTGAATTGATCCCAAGCCCACAATGACCATGATTCAGGGACAGATCCTGCACTCCCTAGCCTTCCTTCCTGGGCCTCCTGCTGGAGGCTGAAGCATTGGTGGAGGGGAAAGGAGAGGCCACAGAGGAGTCCGAGCCTCACCTGCTCTCTTTCCCCAACCCCCCAGGCCATAACAGGGATGGCCATTGACAACCACCTGCTGGGGCTTCGGGAGCTGGCCCGGGACCTGTGCACAGAGCCACCTGAGATATTCACAGACGAGACATACCTGACCAGCAACCGGTTTGTCCTCTCCACCAGCCAGGTAGGGCTTCTTCATTTGCAGCTGTCACCAAAAGGCCTTGTCACATGACCAGTGGGCTCTCTAAAGAGCTCAGGGATTAGAAGGCCCTGGCTGGCATCTCCCAGCCCAAACCCTGCTTCTGCCTTGTCTGTTTTAAAGAAATGCATTTTATTTTTAACTGACACAGCGTGATTATACATATTTCCAGGGTACAGAATGACATTGCAGTCTGTGTGCACTATGCGTAATGGTCAGATTAGGGTAATTGGTGTATCTATCACATTTATCATTTCTGTGTGTTAGGACAATGAAAACTCTCCACCGGCTGTTTTGAAACATTTGATTAATTGTTGTCAAGCATAGCCTCCTACTGCATTACAAAGCCACAGAAGTAAGCCCTCCTCCCTGAGTGCAGCCCACACCCTTGACCATTTTCTCCATCCATCCACCCTCCCCTGCCTGGCTCTGCCTCTTTCTTGAGCTGAGCCGCTTTTGGCAAAATGACCTGAAGCTCAGAGCCCTTGTTTTGCACTTCTCAATGGGAGTGATCACAGACTCCACCTTAGCGAAGGAGGCAGAATGGGCACAGCCATCCCAGTGCTCTAACCATGAGCACTGCGTTCTGCCCCTCACTTGAGGGTGCTGTTTCATCGCGGGGACCCTGGTGTTGCAAGCCCTCAGGCCTGCATGGGGCTGGAGACAGGTGACAGGCATCATCCTGTAGCAGGAGACTGGCTGCATGCCCATCTGTGCAGTGCTGCAGACAGCATCTGTTGGAAGAGACCGTCCCCAAGAAAGACAGGATGCAAGGCACTGCTATGGAGGGGAGGAAGTGCCCCCGCACTCACCCAGCTACTGAGGCACCACCTCGTTTGTGAAACATTGGACATGGAAATGAAAGGCCTGATGAAGCTGTGTTGGAGAATGAGAACCCACTTGGTGACTTCATTTTGTCATCACAGTAGTGAGCTCACAGCCATGAACACACAAAATCAGAACACAGCAACATAAATTCTTCAGGAAACCATCTATGGGCGAAAAGTGCTCTGGAATGGCTTTCTGACTAGCGGCTATCGCACAGCAAATATATCTGACAATTCAGTGACTCTATTAGCAAGACTAATGGTTTGTTCTGCCCCATTCAAATGGCCAGTATTACTTCAGAAGGCCAAGAACACAGCATCAGAAATCTGTGGGTTTAAACAAGCCCTGTCTGGTACCAGCCTAAGAACCTTTCCTATTTTTCCCCCTAGGAGCAGCTAATAAAATTAATTTGGGTGTAGACTTTTTGGTGGTTATTTTCCAGCTGGAAAGTAGTGCTTGTGGCTTGAATGCCTTCCAAGACACTTGCTTGGTTTGTGACCCAGCTTGTAAAACCCCAGTGCTCTGAATTCAAAGTGTCTTAGGTGCAGATCTGAAACTCCAGTTGACGGCAACCTTTGAAACGCCTGGTGCTGGGTAATTGTGTGTGGCCTTGATGTGGGGAAAAAATCCGACCAGCCATGCAATTCTGACAGTAATTAAGGATCTGGGAGAAATCAACAGAGAAGATGGGCCAGATTCCCTCCAGTTCATAAACTATTCCTGGTGGGAAGCCATCTACTGCTTGGGTGCCACCAGGGTGCCTTTTAGTAAATTACCCTGATTGCCACCATGCTTCAAACAGCCCCCAGGTGAAGGAGAAAGTCAGCCCCTGCCCCTCTCACTTGGGAGTTTCCAACCCACAGAGCAGCAGATTGCACACCCGAGAGTGGGCCTCAGGTCCCTCTCCCTCTACAGTCATGCAGCAAGATGCATTTGTTTTTATGATGCTGGCTGTGTCCACCCATGCTGAAGCAATCAGGTGATTTGGTTAATTTGGTTGAAGCCCCAGGGTGGAAATTAACCAAAGAAGCCAATCCCAGCAGAGGCCCGGGGTGTTGGGAGGCCTCCCATTCTTGCAGGTTCATAGGTTGCAGTGTGCTGTTGCTGCTGACCTGTTCTCTCCCCCAGGTGCCCACCACCATGGAGATGTTCTGCTGCTATGGTCCTGTGGTCCCCAATGGCTATGGCACCTGCTACAACCCTCAGCCTGAGACCATCCTCTTCTGCATCTCCAGCTTTCACAGCTGCAAGGACACCTCATCAGAGGGATTTGCAGAAGCTGTGGGGGCGAGCCTCATTGACCTGAGAGCTCTGTGCAGTCCGACGCAGTCCTCTGACTCCAAGTCCCTGTCAACAGAGGAGAAAGCCATGGCCCCCAGCAAGGGCTACCACCCTTGACTTCCCTCTGAGTCCAGCCCTCTGCAGCTGCTAGACCCTGCCTCATGCTTGTTCTCAGCCCTCTCCCCATCCCCACTTTCTTCAGTGTCCCAGTCCCCAGGCCCAGACCACAGGCTACATGCAAGTAACATCCAAGCTGGAATGCTGGGGGAAAAGGGTGCCTCAAGAGGTAGGGAGTGGCCTATGCCCTGGGAATGAGGCCATCCTGGATCCCAGGTGGTGAGTTCCCCAGCAAACACCTCCCTCTGTGGTTCCTCAGAATTTAATGGTCATGTTACCTCCCCTGTGGGATCTAGCAGGTCTGGAGATGTTTCTGCCCAGCAAAACAATGAGTCACTCTATTATACACCATGTGCCCAAATGAATCATGAAGGCAGAAGCTAACTCGGGGTCATTACCCCCTTTTCTTTCTGAGAGGATTTGGGGGGCGAGGCTTTATTTTCAGATTCAGAGCATCTGATGGTGGTATTCAGAGTCTGCACTGAGCCATACAGTCCTACAGACATCTGCTCCCCCCATACACAGCCCAAGTTCTTTGTGACATGGCAACCTGAGCCCCAGGCATATTTCTCCCTCAGAAGGGCAATTTCTGTTGAGTTCAGGAAATCTTGCCCACCTTCTAGCAAAGAAAAGCATGTGTGCATCAGTCCTGGAGTCAATGGGCCTCTCTGCTTTTCAGGTGGTATCAGGGACAGGCGGAACAGTCAACCAACAGCCTGGAGCAGGCAGTATCCTGCCCCTGCATCTTTTCTATGTCCTCTACCCTCCTCCCAGGACACCAACCCTGAAATGTGACCTGCACCTATGGGCAGAAACTAGGCAGGGACTGTGGGGTTTTCTCTTGGTGTTTATGTTTTTTGTTTGTTTGTTTTCAAGAGGGAGGTTTTAAAGAAAATCACTCCAACAGTGATTTCAGAAAGCGCTGTCAGCGGCCACTACTAGTGGCTGGTGTGGTATCCAGAAAAGGCCTCAGGGATGCTGACCAAAACCCATACACACAGGGCTCTCTGCTGGCCTCAGAGACAGAGACTCCCACCTTGCCAGGGCAGGACAGAACAGAAGTCAACTTGGATCATCCTGCCAGACACACCCCCACAAACACACGGTGGGGGGTAGAAGAGAGGTACCATGTTGGGGCACATTCTTTTTCATTAAATATTTTTTTTTGCTTTACCGCCCACTTCTTAGTATTGTGGATTGAACCTAGGGCCTTCACACTGAGGTATATTTCCATCTCCCTACCTTTTTTTTTTTTTTAGAAAGGGTCTTGCTAAGGTTAGGTTGCCAAGGCTAGGTTCAAACCTGTGATCTTTCTGTCTCAGCTTCACAGAGTACTGGGATTACAGGTGTGCACCACCATGCCCAGCTAGGTTTTATTTTAATTTATAGATAATATTTATGGAATACAATGTGATATTTCAGTGTATTACACAGTGACATAATCAGGGTAATTAGCAGAACCAGCACCTCACACTTTTATCATGTCTTTGTGGTGAGAACATTTAAATCCCCTCTCTAGCTGTGTTGAAATACACAGTACATTGTCACCATCTGTGGTCACCTGCTGCATGACAGACCCCAGAGCCCACTTCTCCTGTCTAACTGATGCTGGACCTGCTGTTCAACCTCTGTCATCCTCCTCCCTCACCTTCCCTAGGCTTGATTCACTGCTATTTTGCCCTTAACTTCTCGGGGACCAGCTTTTTATGAGAATGTCTAAATGGGCAGGGTATGTGAAATAGGAAAGCAGCCTGAAAAATGGGAGTGCAGAAAGGGAAGGGGAGCCAAAGCTTGTTCCTCACTGCACTGCTTTGCTCCATCTGCTGACCCTGAGGCATTCTGTATTTGGAGGTGTTGTTGTTGTTGTTACCGGGCACTGAACTCGGGACCTTGCACTTTTGAGGCAGGTGGCGGAACCACTGAGCTGAATCCCCAGCCCCCCTATGGCATTCTGAACCACCCCACCGTAGCCCATAGATCTGCAAGTGTCTCTTCTCCAGACCTTGCTCTGTAGGCACTACCATGTACTGAGCTTCTGAGGCCACAGGAAGCCTGAAGCTGAGACCTGGGCCCAGGTTAGGAGAAGGATGCCACAGAGTGAGGTGGGCCATCTGGGCACTATCTTCTCATGTGCAGACTTAACTCATTGGTCTGGGGTCCCTGCTCCTCCCTTCTGACATCCACCCTCCAGCCCAAAGGCACCTGATGAAAGTTGACCCAGAGCCTGTGCTGCCTGAGTCCTCCCCAGTTCCTCTCCATGCCTTTCCAGCTGACAGAGAGCTCCAGTGGTGGGGGGAATCAGCCTCACCCAGTTAGCAGGTGACTCAAAAGTCCAGAAACACTGTTCCTTGTGCTGTCACATGAGGACATCCCATGAGGGATGGAACTGTGTGTGCAAAGGACTTTGCCTGGCAGGGGGACAGAGCTGCCTGACCTGGGATGCCACCCCCAGCAGACACTGTTCCAGTGTTTTGTTTAAAACTCGTCCCTGATGCACAGGGCCAAGTGTACACCTGCTATCCTCAAGCACAGGGAAATGGAAGTCACTATCGTCCAGACATCAAACTGCACTATGAGATCACCCACTGCAGAGGCAGAGGGAGCACCTTCTCACTCCAAGGAAGGGCTGGAAGCCAGTTTTCCTGCTCTGATGATTGTGGGTGAACGACAATCTTTATGAAAGGCGATACTGAGCCATGGCCAAGCATCTCTGTGGGGATCCCGGGAAAGGAGGCTTTGTCCCCAAAAATATGGGAGATGAGAGAGTCCTCTGGAAAGCAATGCCTAATAAATGTGACCACCTTACACTACCGTTAAGTTGCCAAAATATACAAAGTTAAGGTTTCAGTTCTATTTTTATAAAATAGTTCTAGATTTATGGCAATATGTACATGTGTATTTATAGCCTTTACATTTTAATTTATAGATTTGTGCTTTAAAGAAATACATGTATGATAAAAGAACTGTATATCAAAAGCCCTCTATTCAAATTATTTAAAGACAAACTCTGGTGCTTGCTTCAGCAGCACATATACTAAAGACTCACTCTGTACTCAATAAAACATAATGCCAAGAAAGATGACGTCGGTCACTGTTGCTATCTTCTACTAGAAGATAACTTTTTAAGTTTGGGATACTGGGTCAACAGCACTTTGGACTTTGTCTGGGCTTGACCAGCAACAGTGACAGTGTAAATGGCTCCTGGATACATGATGGCATGTGCTGGTAATGCCAGCTACTCAGGAAGCTGAGGCAGGAAGGACACTTGAGCCCAGTCCCAGACCAGCCTGAGTAACACAGTGCGAATCCATCTCTAAAAATAAAAGAGTCAGAGCCAGGAGAGCAAAGGAGGAGCTAAGTTTCTCCATGGTGGGGCTCTGAGGTGGGAGTGAGAGCAGCAGGCCTCATGTGTTGCTTGTGATCAGGTTGGCTGTAGTGTGGGTGGCAAGGTGGACATATCCCGCTTAGCCCTGAAGCATGCAGTAGAGGGGAGCACCAGGCACAATAAATTCCTTGTAGATCTGCCTCACTGTGACCTCCGGGATATTACCCGGCCTCCGTCAACCTCGCTGTCAGCACAAACCCAACCAATCCCTCCAAATGGAAACCATGAGCTTTGGAATTGGAGCCCCAGAGGGTGTGTGGGCTGGGGTGTAAGAAAGATGTGAATGGGAGAGATAATGGTCAGAATATTCCAGGAGGGCAGAGGGAAAGGTGGAACAGGATCACAGTAACGTGGGTTCACTCTTAGTTATCACATGTATCATAGGTGGCCCCCAAATAACCAGAGGTGGAGAGAGAACACTGAGTCTCCTTCATAAATCCAACTTATCTCCTCCCTTTGTTTTTCTCTAAGTTTTCCTTAAATAAAATAAATAAGCAGCTTAAGTCTGAAGGCGAACTCCATGCCATCCATGGAGGAGCTATCCCCATGCCTGGGGGGGCTCTCCTTCTTCTCCCCTTGTTCTTCTCCTGACTTGTGCTGCCCCACCTCCCTCAGAGATTCCTCCTGCTCCTGTTCCTTATTCCTCAATGGTCCAGTGTTCTTTTGTCCATGGTCTTGATTTCTAATTCTAAGGCTCAGTGAGTAACAAGTCAGACTGAGTTATGCCCAAAGAGTCCTTCCCTCTACAAAATGAATTTTAAAAACAAAGCAAAACACCCGGTTGGGTTGTGCAGCCCCAAGGCTGAGTGCTTGCCCACCATGCCTGAAGCCCTGGGTTCTGTCCCCAGTACCCAAAAACAAGCAAACAAAACAAAAAGCTACTCGCAGGAATTCTTTTAAATATATAATGGAGTTAAAAAGAAAAAGAAAGGAAAACTCTCTCATTCCATTAAAAGAAGAGGCTTCCCAAAGGCCCACAGGAAGTAGGAGCTAAAGTTTGGTCTTGGACCAGGTGCTGAGCCATGGGTGGGGAGGTTCTCCTCGGCTGCGGGCTGAGGGGACAGGACAGCCCACATATGAGCCAAATGCCCCACACAAACCAGGCCCTCCCAGAGGTGTCCCAGGACTTGTGCCATATGCAGATGAGAAGTTTGCATTCACATGACTTCCAAGTAAAGCCTGTAATGTTAGAAGCCTAATTGGGCTGGGTCAGCAAGGACTAAAGGACCTCAGCAGAATCCAATACTGCCCGCCCCGGGGACCATTCCACTCCACTGAAGACAGTTCCTGTCAGAAAACATAAATCTCCCAAGATGAGCAGGGGAGAATTAACACCCTAAAGGCTGGCATAATTTGTGAATCACAGGAACTATGAGATAGCTATGTTCATTTTTATGAAAGAAATTGTTAAAGTGGTCCGAGACAGATAGCATATGGACTGTGAGAGATTGGGAAGAGCACCAAAGAAAAAGGGGCTTAAAATATGCTAAAATTGAAGAAACATGTAATTCTGAAACTCATGGGTCAAAGAAGAGATCATAACAGAAATTTTAAATCATGTAGAGAAGGATGGTATAGACAGCTGTGTCAAAATTATCTCAGGTCCCTCATTTATTCAAAACCTCTGAGATAAGTCATAAGTGATTTTGAGAAATTTATAACTTTAAATATGTGAGAAAAAAGGAAATATTGATGAACTAAATGTAAGGTTAAAAGTAAAAAAAAAAAGAATCAAAGAGTAAATTCAAAGAAAGTAGAAAGAAAAGATTAAAGATAAAAATAGCTATCAGCAAAAGAAAAATAAACATGACAAAAGAGAAACAAAACAAAATAAAAACTGGTTATTTGAAAAGAGTAGCAAAATAGTCAAGCCTAATAAAATCCATAAAGAAAGGAAACATCAGAAATGAAAAATATTAGGAACAAAAAGCTAACATAATTTCACCTACAGTGTGGTATGGCCATAGACAAAACTAACATAATTTCAGAAAAGCCAATACCCAAAGAATAATAAGAAAGTATGTTTATTACTTTATATCAATAAACATAAAAGTACATAAAAACATTCCTAAAGAAATAAAACTTACAAAAACAAATGCAAGAAGAAATAAAATCTCTGGACAGTCTTAGAAATCTTAAATAAACCAAAGTAGCAGCAATATTAGCAGTAGGAACAGCTTCCCACTTAGGGGTTAAAAAAACAAAAAAAAAGATGAAGCCAGGCCTGGTGCAGGCCTGTAATCCCAACACTTGGGAGGCTGAGGCAGGAGAATCACAGTGAGTTCAAGGACAGCCAGAACTGCATATCAAGATCCTCAAAAAAATAAATAAAGATTGGAGACATGAAATTTCATGGACAAGTTCTACCAAACTTTTGAAGAAGGGATCATTATATCATTACAGTTGTATCCATAATAAATAAGCAGTTACTCTTTCTCCTTTATATTCCCTTATTTATTCTTGAAAGCTAAAATAACGTTAATACTGAAGCTAGACAAGTACACAGTATCAAGAATAAACACAAACTCATTTCACCCATGTTATGTATATGCAAAATATAAGCAAACAAATGTTAAAAGATCAGGCCCCAGATTTAGCTCAGTGGTTCTGCAAACTGCCTTGCAAGTGCAAGGACCTGAGTTCAATCCCTGGTACCAAAAAAAAAAAAAAAAA